GCCTGGCTTCCCGCCGGCCTGGCCCCGCAGGACGCCTGGAGCCGGTTCGGGCGAAGAGCCAAGGCCGCTCCATCTGCAGAGGCCAAAGGAGAGGAGGGTATGAAAACCGAAGAAGATTCTGGGGTCCCTGTCCTCAAGCCCGGCACCCCTTCTGGATGGAGTGCCCGTGGCCTCCGTCCAACTTCCTTCCAGAGCCCGGGATAGGGGCGGGCCCTGCGTGCTACCCTCAGTGTTCCAGGCGTCTCCTTACTAAGTGCCCCTACTAAGGCCTAGCCATAAGCCCGCTGCGGCAGCTTGGGAGCGAAGGCCACCACCTCGAGAGACCAGCAGATGACAGGGGGGAGGGCCCTGCCTGCTCGCTGGGCCACCCCCCAACCCGGCTCCAGAGCCCTGCTGCCGGTGGACCCTCAGGATCTGGACGGGTCTGGTTTCTGTTTATGCATCAGAACGCACTGTTAGGCCCGAGAATCCAGGAAAGCAGTCAGCGCCCCAGGAGAAGAAGAAATTCCCCACAGGAGGGCTTGCGGGACATGGGCTCCGACAGGCAGGCTGGCTCCGTTTGCACTGCCCGGGTGACTTCCAAACCGTGGGACACTTCCCTAAGGGACCGTCAAGTGGAAAACGTGCGCGGCTTGGAAAGTGAGTAAAGGTTATGCCCGTTTCCTTTAGCTCAGAGATTTAAAGAAAAGTGGCTCCTTTGCTCAGCTATTTCAGATTTTCTTTGTCTTGGTTTGGGGGAGCTCGGTATCCAGAATACATTAGTGCTGGTGTAAGGAATGCGAGGCGGGAGAGGAGTGAGTGGAACTCCATGGGCAGGAGAGCAGGGCTAGCGCAGACCAGAAAGCCCGTGCTTCCCTGGCCTCCTGGCCCTAGGCCTCAGGAAGGTGGCTTGCTGGTCTTCACCGAGTTACACTTAAGGGAATCAGATTTTAAGGAACCCAAGACATGCAGAGTGAGCGTTTTATGCAAGGACAGGAGGCTAGGTTTGAGTTCTCCACCTGTGCCTATGGGACTAGTAAGCACGCCAGATCTGTCCCAGTCTGTCATCCCGCCCCACCTTGCCCCATTCCCTGCCTGCCGGGGGAGAGGTTACCAGGTCTCATGGCCGAATCTGCCAGGCTGGCTCAGAGGTCCCTGGTCGCCTGTGTGGTTTTGTGAACAAACTCTTCCAGAAGCCGCACTGGAGGAGTCATTCCTCAGCCCTGGCCTGAACTTTTGAAGGATGTGTGTCACCCTGCCGCCCTCGCCAGCTGCTTCGTCCCCGAGCAGTGAGAGGGGAGACTGCCGGAGCCTGCTGGTCCTCCACGGTTCCCTGAAGCGTCCACCTCGGGCGCCGCACCTGTGTGCTCAGGAGCCTGAGCGTGATGCAGAGCCCTTCTCACGGTCCCCAGCGTTTGCTCTGTGCGCCAGGAGACTGCTCAGGGCTGGTGAGCTCGCCAGTTTGGGGAGAAGAATGTGTTTGTGGGGCAGGCGGGTCCGAGTTCCCAACGCTGGGTTTACTGCATTTCCTAGTTGCCTACAACCACCCGTGAGTGTCTTGACCCTACTAAAAAGCACTGTGATTTCCAGGGAGAGTAGATCCTGACAGTAGCCAACCTTTACTAGGCACTAATTATGTGCCAGGCCTGGCTGCAGGAGCTTTGTGTAAATTAACTCGGACTCCTCCTACCTCTGTGGGGTGGGTTTATTAACGTCCCCATTATACAGTCAGACACAAGGGGAGCTGCACACCAGCGATCTAAGCCAGTCCCCAGAATCCTAGGGTGGGCAGTGTTCCCCGGCCTATGTGTTCGAGGCAAGCTGCTTAGCGGTGCCTACCGTGGAATGGAGCTTGCGTTCTCGGGAATTGTGTCGGCAGCGTTGCAGTAACCCATGCGAGTCCAGCAGAGAGCATTGGTTTGTCAGGCTTCGTCTGCAGAAAGCAGTGGAGGCGCACGGAGAGGGGGAAATACGAGCTGATCGCAAGTACAGAGCGGTGCTTCTCCGAGGATGGGCACCGTCCGCCACTTGTGACGCGGTCCCAGGGTCAGCAGAGCCCACAACCTCAGGAGCGTGTTAAAGTGCAGAACCTCGCCACTGCCACCACCCCGTGTGGGCGCCTACATGTGGGCCAGCTTCCTCTGCCACACCCACTGCTGACCATCTGCACAAAGGAGTAACCAGCTCGTGAAAAGTCAGATCCGAAGCCCCACCCGAGACTCTGGCCCTGGGACCTTGGGGTGTGGGACCTGGGACCCAGACCTTCAGCCCCCTCCCTAGGTGATGCCCACGCCTGCTGCATTTGAGAGACAGACATTTCTTCCTAGTGCATAAGCAGTGCCTAGGAGCCTCAAAAGTGCTGCTTCCCGGGTTCAGCCCTGGGTCTGTAGAACTCGGATCTTCGCGGGGCAGAGGCTGAGCCCTGCAGGAGAGACACTGGCACAGTCACTGGCGAGGGAGGCTCCGGCCTGCCACTGCTCTGCCAGTGTGGGAGAACACAGCAGCCAGGACGAGGAGCTGGGACGCCGGCACCTGGATAAAGGGCCCTAGACAGAAGTGTGCTTTTGTTTCCAAGAGAGATTAGGAAAATTCATTTGGGAGGGTGGTTATGAGTGACTTTCTCTCGACACCTGTAAACACGGTTGACTGTAATTGAACTACAGATGTTTGCTAAGCTTGACAGCCTGCTCTCTGCCTCCCACTGGTCGGGGTGTCTGGGAAGGGGTGCATCTTTAAAGCAAATCAAGTGCTTCTATCAAGCCTGCGTTCCCCACCGTTAAGCTACCCCTTTTTATTTTCCAAACTCCTCACTGTTAGACAAAAGGCTGTGTTGTAAGGAAAGCAGGGAGGGTGTTAGCAAGAGGTGTGCTTGGGGAATAAAACCAGGTCTTGGGGGAAAGTTGAAGATGTTTGAGGCGCTGTGGAGATGAGTGAGAACAGCTCGAGAAGACCTCCGTCCGTGAACAGAAAGAGACAGGCTTGAAGGAAAAACAAGTGAGAGACTGAGAGGGAAGGCGGGAGGGAGAGAGGAGGAGAGGGACGGGGAGAAGGAGGAAGAGGAGGAGGAGGAGGAGAGAGAAGAGCGCACTGAGCCCTCTGCCTTCAGTTCTGCAGCGCTCGCCTGTCCAAGCTAGGTCACACTGGGAATAAAGAGAGACGGGCTGCTGCTATTACAGTCTGCAGTTTCACCTGCACCATCTTTCTCCTTTAGAATGGACTGAAATTTATGGTAAGCCAGGCCGGTTAGGAGGCTTCTGGGTCATTATCTCGTGTAAGCTTCGTCGTATAGGAAGGAGGTGGTTCCATCTTGTTCCAGCGACAGGAAACAGCCTCGGACATGCAGGCAGGCTGTCCTGGGCCGCAGGCTGGGGTGCGGCCTCGCCAAGGCAGTGTGCCCTCACCTTGGGCGTGACTGGCAGGCTTCTTCCCGTGTGGTGATGCCAGGAAGAAGATGCACATGTCTGCTCCCAAGCCGCCCCTCTTTTCCTTTCTCTTTTTCCAGCCTGTGGTCAGCCCTGACCGGCTAGCACAGCCAGGTGCACGGGCTCCTAGCCTCCGCCTTGTGGTCCCTGTCTCTGGTCACCATCTGCCGTCCTGAGATAAGGCCTCCTTTGTCTTACACCGTGCTTTCTCCCGGGGCAGAGAATCTCCTTGGGCCGCCCTGGGGTTCCACACTGGAGGTCCTCTCCGAGCGTCTGTCGCTTGTCCACTCTGACCAACCACAGAGAGGGGAGAGTGTGCTCACCGCTCCTGGAGCCCAGGTCTGAGGCCGTGGGGCCACCAGTGGACAGAAGGCGAAGACTATGGTGACAGTGAGGACCTTGCAGCTGCAGGCCTAACCTGGGGCAGCCATCAAAGCCACCAGATGTGCTGGGGAAAGCAGACAGGGAGGGCCCTTTCGGAATCCCTGGGTTTTTATCTGTTCTGCGGGTGGCTTTGTTGGCTTATTTCCCGTGTGCTGTTAGCAAAGCGGGGAGGCACGGGGGTGGGTCAGAGGTGCACGGCACAGGGATGCCCGCTGCAGAGCTCTCCTGTGACCTGGCGCTGCATCGGCCTTGTCACCTGCTGGCTCAGGGAAGTGGCACAGCACATCGGAGAAGGAGGCCAGGATGGGAGTCACCAGCCGGGGGCACTTGGGGTGATACACGGCACACCTAGTTGTTGCCCCCCAGCAGGAGGGGGCTGGGGATCCTCTATTCCCAAGACCAGGGATGGGGGCTGCCTGGGACCACCTCACACCGGGGCAGCCGAGCTTCTCTTCATTCAGCTCCTGATGCCAGGACCAGCAGGGTGGGGCTGAGCACCCACTTTTTATTTCATTTTTTGTCTCCCCCTTTGTGCTGACTCCCCCAGAACACCCCCAGTTCTATCTCTTCTTTCCAGAACTTCAGCCCCACCATCTGTTGCCTACATCTCTGCCACTGCCCTCCTTGCAGTGCTCCGCAGGCCAGGCCTCAAGGGGCTCACTGTAACCCAAATTGGAGGTGAGCACCAGCGCTTCCAGCTGGAAGCCCCGAGTGGTCCTTAGACCCTTGAGGACTGGACCACTCCATGGCCCAGAAGACCCTGTGTGTGGGACCCTGCCCACGTCCTCACCCCATCTACAGCTGTCCCTGCTGTGCCTGCTCTACCCAGTGACCCTCCTGTACCTCCAGAGATGGGTCCTGCACAAGCATCTATGAACTAAACCATGGGTTGGAAGTTCTGCCCCAGGACCTCCTGGCCGGCTGCAGCACAGTCTGCGGGTGTCTCAGAGACCCGCAGGACCCCTAGCCAGCCTGCCACCCCACCTCCACACAGCCAGACCCCTTGCACCTGTCACTGTGGTTTTCAGCTTCTCAAATGTCCCCAGGAAAGGCGTCCCTGCCCGGTGCACTGTGGTGTCCCGGTACCTCGGATCCTCCCACGTTGTGCTGTTGCCGGCCACTCAGGAAAGTGAACACCAGGATGAACGACGCGGGAGCTGCAGGAGGAGCTGGAGCAGCCAGGACCGAGGAGCAAGGTTCTAACCTGGACGCTCCACCTGCCCAGGGTGGGGCGGAGGAAGGAGGCTGGGGGTGGGTGCTCCACGTGAACGCCAACGCAGTGGGCTTCCAAAGGCAAGGCCGAGAGTACGGATGAGATGATAGAAGCAAATGTCCAAGGACAGGAAATCAGATTAAACAGTAAAGCAGATAATATCAGATTTGAAGGAGGAAGACGATGGGGAGGTGCTGGGAACACGAGCAGACAGAGTGGCAGTAAAACAGGAGAGAGACAGAGCAAATGGAAAGGAAGTGGAGAATGGCCTTACAAGCGAGAATGTCTGCTTGGAGTTACGAGGCCGCCCTGTAATGGTATCCCGCTGCCGCCCTGGGCAGGCCTGGGGGACGCGGCTCTCAGCCCCAGAGGGCCAGCCAGCTGGGTCCTTTCTGGTTGCATTTACCTGGTAGAGTACTGAATCTGGGGGGCTGCTGCTCGCCACTGTCTCCAAACATGAGCCCCAGGCTGCAAGACGTGGGGGGATCCGTGGGGGCTCAGCTGAAGCCCTTCTGTCCCAGTGGACATACATATGGACCTGCTCAGGAGAGCACACAGCTGGACAGTCCACCCGGGAGGCAGCTGGGGTTGGCTGCCAGCCCCTATGCCTTCTGAGTCTGCTGCTGTCGCCCTCACGGAGAGGACGCACACAGTCAGAGAAGTGGCCTGCTCACACACTGCTCAGGATCGGGCAGGCTCGTCAGCAGCTGGGCCACCTAGCCTGAGCCATAGCGCTGGATGCAGGGAGCCTGCTCCAGCCAGTGGACCCTGGCGGATACTGTTAAGACATGAGCAGTGCACTGTTGTCACATCTCCGGGGGATTCAGAGTGCGTGGCAGTGTTTTATCTTCTGGCTAAGGGAAGCGAGCATTCTGGAAGGTTTCTGTCTCCAGTACCTCACTGGGAACTAAGTGTAGCCGTCTTTCTAGAACAGAGCTCCCTGGAAGGGCGGGAAGATGTCTGATGTGGTGCAGGACATGTGGGCTTGGCCCAGAAGAGGCTGGGACAGACCTGCCTGGGAGGGGTGAGGGTGGGGTTCTCGGGCAGCCAGGAGGAGGCCAGGGAGTGTACACTGCTGGGGAGGCCGGGGGTGATACAGGGTGGTCAGCAGGCTGCTCAAAAGACACCCCACCCTCAAGGCAGAACTTGTAGAATTGATCCCCTCATGTAGAACGTGCTCAGAACCAAGCACAGGCGCATCAGCCACGCAGGTGGGCAGTGTGAAGAGGGCGTGCATGGATAAGCCACCAGCTGCAGGGCAGCTCTTCTCTGCCCCCCAGTGAGGCACCGGAGGCCCCAGCAGAAAGCCCAGATTTGCTCCACGGATGTAACATAGAAGGTGGCTCTCTCTGGGGTGTTCCTAGAACTAAGGAGGATGAGTGCACCTCAAAATCTGCTCTGGACAGATCCAGGTGTTCCCCGGAGACTGTGGGGGTGTCCCCAGGACCCCAGGCCAAAGGCCAGGCAGGCCTCGGTGGTTCACCCGGCGGCCCTTCGTCCAGCAGCTATGGGCTCCTGTGTGGATGAACGGGAGAAGCACAGACATCAGGCTCTGAGTAACAGCGCTGGGTCCAGCCCCACGTGGAGTCAGAGCCACTATACACAGCCCTGTGCTGTACTTCAGGGACGTGGCTGGGCACAGGAGGGACAGGGCTCTGTCCTGTGGACCCCACTGTCTGGTGGGAAACAGGTGGGACGGAGGCCTCGGTATGGGCATGTGTAGTGGCATCGCCACCTGTTCGCACCTGAGATCTCCGCCTGGGCCCGCTACCCCCCCACAGTGGGGTTTGTGCTGCCACCCTGCACCCACAGGAGAGCACCACCAGCCTTGGGACCAAGCCACAGGGGCCCTCCTCGGAAGCCAGGCTCAGGCTCCAGCGCCACCACCGGTTCACCACTGGGGTCCCATGCACTGTCACTCGTGGAGGTCTGACTTTACGTGAGGACATCCTCTTTGTGTTGAACATTCTGTGAGTTTAGACAAAAGTATCCACCACTGGAGCAGCGCACAGAGCAGCTCCACTGCCCTTGAAATCCTCAGCGCCCCAGCTACTCATCCCTCCCGTCCCCTCGCCCTGACAACCTCTGTTCTCTTTACTGTCACCAGTAGCCTTGCGTTTTCCAGAATGTCGTGCGATTGGAGTCATGCAGCGCACCGCCTTCACAGAGTGGCTTTTTTCATTTAGGAGTAGATGTTTGGATTTCCTCCGTGTCTTTTCCTGGCTTGAGAGCTCATTTTTCACCACTGACTACTATTCCACCGTATACGATGTACCACGGTGGATCTACTCCTTCCTCAGGCTGAGGTTCAGCTTGCTTCCAGTACCTTTGGGATTTTAAATAGTCAAGACAGGAGGATTTCTTTTTTGTGTTTTGTTTTGTTTTTTTCCGGTACCAGGAATCGAACTCATGATGTTGCGCTTGCCAGGCAGGCGCTGTGCCGCTGAACTAAATCCCCAGCCCAAGACTGGAGGATTTCTTTTCACCTTCCTTCTAGGTGAATTTCACACTGCCTTTGCCCTTTTTTCTTATTTGAGGCAGATGAGAAGGGCCTCACTCCCTGTTTTCCTGTGCAGCTGGAGGGGGATGTGGCTTGCTGGTGGTCAGTGTGCCTCTCGCCCTCTCTCCTTTGTCCCCCCCCCCCACCCGTTGGACTGGGACACTGCTTCAGTGTCACCCTGGGCTACCAAATGGCCATTCTCCAACAGAAGAGCAGCTGGACAGGCCACTCAGAGGACTGTTGCCTTTTTGAAGAAGAGAGGAGACAGCTGGGGTGACTCGGATCCAGAAGGGCGGCATTGGATACTCCTCACACCCCCAACATGCACAGCAAGCTCCAGCCCCGCCCCTCCCTAAATCAGGCCTGCAGCTGCTGTGTAAGCAGCTGTCCCACACTCCTCCGGTCAGTCTGGGGGGCGCCCTCCTGTGCCCTGGCCCCCGGGCTGCAGCACAAGCCCTGTTAGAATAAAGACTGGAACTGGTGCCTCCATAACCTGCTCGTCATTCATTTCTTGGTAGTGCCAGCTACAGAAGTTACAACTTGGAAATCTACTCACAGTTCTTATCCTGGGTAGTGTGGACAAAGCAGTCATTTCAAAAGAAAGCGATAAACACTCAGATGTCTTAGCACTGAAGAGCTCAGGAGCCCAGCAGCTAAGAAAGAGCAGCGCCTGGTGGAGTTGCCCCACAGTGTCAAGGG